AATAATTTATTTGCTGGTAATATATATATATATATTTTTTAACCAAAATGTACTGCTGATAATTTTTTAATCTTTTACAAAATTATACTTTATACTTTCATTTACACTCGTCAAAACCTCTAATCTGATGATCTAGCGACCTTGCAACTGAAAGTAGACCAACAATACATTCTTATAGGAAAATGATAATCCATACATTTTATAGTAAAATTGAAGACATAGAATACATTGTCAATGATTCATCTCATTTCTTGTAAAGAGAAAGAGGATTTCTCTTCTCGTTTGATTTTGTAAGATTATTTGGTAAAAAAAATGCAGCTAAGTAACTATAATTTTATCATGAAATAATGCCATTATTTTGAATTCGTTATAAAAATTTAAGTTTTCCTATTTAGATTTCGTCATTAAATAATTCGAGTCGATATACCGCTAAAAAAAAAAAATGCAAACCAACCTTTAGAACGATCATGGATCTCCACAACAACCCGATCTGTCCCCTTACCATCTCTCCCATACCCTGTTCTCTTATCCACTACTCCTTCTTCTATGTGTCATGCCTCGTCAGGATGTTGGCGATTATGGCTCTCCAAAATATCTTTTCCTTTATAGCTCTTAGTAAATTTTGTCTTTTTGTTATTTTTCTTTAACCCTTGTTCCAGGAGGCAGGAGTTATGCACTGCATTCCTCTGTCCACTTGTCTTAAATATGTCGTGTGAGTGACAAATATTAAGTACCACACGTGATACACGCTTGGGCGAACATGTCTCTTTCAATCCATGACTGATGAGGCGGTAGACTGGTTGCCAACCAAGGCTATAGAACTCAATCTATCTCCTGTATTCAAACCATAGCTGGGGAGGGAGATGGATCCGTACTTTCCCCAAGGGTATTTGAGCGTAAGTGAAGGTAACGAAATCAGCTGGGATTCGAACTCGGCTCTCCGATTTATCATTCTAGGTTGATATGGTATTTTTAGAATATTTGTGTAGAATATTTCTGCTGTTTCAAGCTTTTTTCTTCATCTGTGAAGAGATTGTTTGGCATTCACTGAGGACTGATATTGTATAATCGGTCAGTACTGTTTTCTTTGTTCTAATGGAATTTTCCTTTTTCTTAATACATTGCTTAACTTTTGGAAGGCATTTTTCTCTATTTCAATACGCCTTTGGATTCCGCTGTTGTACTTTCCGTCTTCTGTTAAAAACAATTCCCAGATATCTATTGTTGTAATTGTTTGATTTTGCTATCCCCAATTTGTAATTTTCATGTTGGGCTCCGTCACTTTTGCTAACAACCATTCTTTCTGTCATTTACAGTTAATGATTGCTCCTTTCTTATCAGTTTCCTTCTCTTCCTTCTGTACGGGTTTTTATAGTTTTCTTCCCGTGTCTGTTATCAACACAATGCCATCTAGATATCTCATGTTCTTAAGATTGTGATCGCCATTAATGAATCCTGGTAAGGCTCTTAATTCTCTCAGAATCACCTCAATGTATAAGTTGAATATTTCCGGTGGGAAGACACATGCTTCTTCTTGTAATTGATGTTTAGTCCTTTTTCCTTGCTTTCCTTCATTAGATTCTGTAGAAGATCATGTAGTTTTCTTTCCGTGACTGCTATCAACATTGTATAATATACATATCTTACGTTGTAAAGGTTGTGACCACCAGTAATGAATCCTGGTAGGACTTCTAATTTCCTGAGGATCGCCACATTTTATAGGTTGAATGAGTCCGGTGAGAAGACCCACCCTTGCCTTACACCTCTTTCTATTTTTGTATATACACTGAATTCATTTTCTATCCGTATGCAGGTGGTTTGCTACTAGTATACGTTCTGGATTATTCTAATATTTTTCCCAAATATAATCACAGGTACCTAGCAGTTCCATTGCAGATAGAAATTTCAACGGTCTCTTTCTGATGTTAAATATAAGTTTCCTTTTGGTTTCCATTGTTTTAAATTTCGCTGCTGCTCACATGTTCGGTCCTTTTATTCTCAGCATCCTTGTGTAGAACCATATTTTCTGATTCTTGTTCATCTGTGAGAAGATTTCTCAGGATTCACAGCTATGTAAAAGGACTGATATTACATAACAGTTACATATTCTATTGTTTTTTTCTAACGACATATTTCTTATTGCTTCGAATTTCAGTGCCGTTAAAAAAAAACACATATATTTAAATTGTTGCATTTGTTTGATCTTGCTACCGGCAATTTGTAATTTGCATGTTGTGGGTTATTCCTTTTGCTAACAACCATACATTTCGTCTTCTTCCGTTTCATTGTCATACATTTATTTATATATTTGTCAAGGTTTACAGATCCCACATTGTTACATCACTAATTTAGGTGTGGGAAATGGCAGTAAATTAAAATATTACAATCGTTTATTAATCTTAATGGAAAAAAATTGTAAATTTCGATTAAACTTCCTCGGAGTAAATTATATTCATTTTCATTAAACAGTATTTTCCAGCTTAAAACTGGGAACAGACATGTTCAAGTGGCATACAAACGCAACGTATGCGTTTTTACACACACACAAAATTTATGCTGCAGTAATGAAGGATAAACGAGGATATTTTGACGAGAGCAAAAATTAATCATAATTTTTTTTTCTTTTTGTCATAATAAAACTTTAATAAAATATTGTCAGCTTCTTTAAAACGATGTATAATAATTTTCTCTTATTTAAAGTAAAAAATTACCCCGGTGACCTCAAACTACTGAACTTTATATATATATATATATATATATATATATATATATATATATATATGAAGAAATATACTCTTAAGGTGTGTTATATCGAATTTCAGTGTCGCACTTTCCATCTTCTGCTAAAAAAAAAATATTTAAATTGTTGCATTTATTTGATCTTGCTCTTAATTAATTTTGCTATCTCTTAAACCTTACTCAACGATCCATTTAATCATGGTCGCTAGGTTGGGCATGCGCAGTTTGCTTCTAACACTCTTGCTCCCAATCTGTCACGTGATTATCACATTTTCCAAGTTCTTTTCCTCATTATGCGACCAAAAAATTTCAACCGTCTCTTTCTGATGTTAAATATAAGTTTACTTTTTTTTTTCCATATTTTTAACTTCATTGCTGCTCACATGTTCGGTCTTTTTATTCTCAATATCCTTCTGAAGAACCACATTTTCTGTCCCTTGTTCATTGTTGATTTCCCAGGATTCCCAGCCATGTAAGACGACTGATATTCTATAACAGTTAAATATTCCATTCTTTGTTTCTAACGACATTTTTCTGTTTCTTAATACTTTGCTTAGCTTTCGGAATGCATCTTTCGCTATCTCCATGGGTCTTCGGATTGCGGTGTCACCCTTGTCAGCGGCTGTTAAAACAGTTTCCAGATATTTAAATTGATGTACTTGTTTTATCTTGTTATCTCCACTTTGTAATTTCCATGCTGGGCTGATCCATTTTGCTAACAACCATTCATTCAATCTTCTTACAATTGATGTTTTTTTTTTCCTTTCTAATCGCTTTTCTTCACTTCGTCTATTCACACAAGCTATCAGAATGTATAATACTTATTTTTTTCTAAAAAAATAATAAGCAAAATTAAGGGTACGTATTATGCACCGCTAGAAAAAAATCTTTAAAAAATTGCCATTTCATAGGTCGCTCTCTCACAGACGTGCCGTCGCCTCCCTCTGTCTTTTTTTACAAATACTTTCATGGTAACTGCTCCGATGAGCTGCTTTCGCTGGTTCCCAGACTTCATGAATTTAATCGTCCAACTAGGCTGGCATCTCACTCACACCCTTTCACTGTCGAAACTGTTAAATGTAGCTGTCACTTCTACTCCAATAGCTTCATGTCTCGCACTTCTCGCCTGTGGAACTCCCTCCCTTTTTCCTGTTTCCCTGATAGCTATAATCTCCAACTATTCAAATGTAACGTCAATCGACGTCTCCAGATGCATTGATCTATCCCCTATCTTTCTCTTCATCCTTTCCTCTATCACTCCTCTTTGTTCTGTAACCCCTTGAGAGCTAATGGTTTCCCGCCTTGCTTGGGGTTGAATGTTTAAAAAAAAATAATATTCTGTTTATTATTTTGAAGAAATTCAGGTAAAGTTAAAAACTAAGTCATCATTGGACTGCATCCGAATAGCATCGTGTTATGCTAGCTCGTGTTATATCGGGGTTCCTCTATTGGGAATAAGCGCTGACTTGCAAGGAAAGGAAAAAGTCCGTTGGTCCGTCCATTTGTCCGTTATCGCTGCCACTCTATCCATCACGCTGACATATATTATGGCGCTGATGCTTAGAATGGCCAGACAACCTGATAAGCGGCATAAAGAGGAAAGACATATCCCATAATTCAGCACACAGGATGTTGATACTTCACCTTCCGTTACGCCCCCAAGGGAACGCATCCTTTCTCTACTATTTTTCTTTTTAATTTAATCTCTCTCATTTATTTATTTATTTTGCTTTATGGCAGATTTTATAGTTTTTGTGGACTTCACATTTTTGTTTTCTACCTGGAATCGTTCTGTTTATTTCTCTCCCTATCCATTTTTTTTTTTACCTACATCGATACAGTTTCCTTTCTATTTACATGCTATGTATTTCTGGAATTTTCTTTACTTTTTCACTACATAATAACTATATACTTTTTTCTTCTATTTATTTTCAGTCAATTACCAACCAACTTTGTTTTTCATAGATAGATAGATAAAGAAACAGAGAGAGAAATAGATAGATAGATATATAGATAGATATAGAGATAGACAAATAGATAGATAGATAGATAGAGAGAGAGAGAAAGAGAGAGAGAGAGAGATTTGTCTTCTGTGATTTCGTATAGTCCAGCATTAATATTTTTGTCACATTTCATTAATTTTTTTCTTCTCAGACTGTTCAAATCTATCTATCTATCTATCTATCTATCTATCTATCTATCTATCTATCTATCTATCTATCTCAGCTTCTTCATATCTATCTATCTAGCTAGCTAGCTAGCTATCACTTCGCTTCTTCATATCTATCTATCTCAGCTTCTTCATATCTATCTATCTATCTATCACTTCACCCCTTCATATCTATCTCAGTTTCTTCATATCTATCTATCTATCTATCTATCTATCTATCTATCTATCTATCTATCTGCTCCTCTTTCTTTCTTACTCACATTAGGCTATATTTATAAATTAAACCTTCCACCCATTCATACTCGGACACGTTTCTTTCTGGTTCTAAAAAATATTGATATCTTCCCCTTTCTCTAGTTTTATTTTAATTTCATATATTTCAATTTACTTTCGCGATTTTGTTTGGCAATTGAAAAAGTTTCCTTTTTACGTATTTATTTTGGTTTTTTATGCTTTACATTTATGTTTATTTGATTTTTTTTTATTTTATTAATTTCCCTTCCTCGTCTCCTTTTTTTCTTACAGGGAGGGACGTGAACAGATAGATAGATAGATAGATAGATAGATAGATAGATAGATAGATAGATAGATAGATATGAACGTATTGAGATAGATAGATAGATAGATAGATAGATAGATAGATAGATAGATAGATAGATAGATATGGACGTATTGAAATAGATAGTGATAGATGGATAGATAGATATAGACGTATTGAGATAGATAGATAGATAGATAGATAGATAGATAGATAGATAGATAGATAGATAGATAGATACATATGGACGTATTGAAATAGATAGATAGAGAGATAGATAGATAGATAGATAGATAGAAATAAATAGATAGATAGATAGATAGATAGATAGATACTGAGATAGATAGATAGATAGATAGATAGATATGAACGTATTGAGATAGATAGAAAGATATAAAGAAAAAATCTGATAGAAACACACAGACAGACAGAAAAAAAATTCGGCTTTTTTTTCTCCGCTCTTCCGTCTCTTTCTGTATCAATCTTTTTTCCCTTATATATATATATATATATATATATATATATATGCCCATTTATTTATCTATCCCTGTTGACACATTGTTCATATTAGTATTCTTATTATTGACTTACTCCTTGCCACCTCTTCACTGTCTCCTCACAAGTGCCAGTGTTAAGTAGGTTTGCCATTGCAACTATTTCATAATTTGGCTTCTTTCTAGATCTTCACCTCTCTCTCCAGCACAAATCCCCGACCCCCAGCAGCGTGAAAAGCTGATTTATACGCGTGCTCAAGTGTAGCACCGACCCCAAACCCGAACCTAAGCCCTGCCCCTTGGCCCTAGCCCCGGGTCCCTTAAAACATTGGGTTAAGAACTCTTGACAGTTGCTCGTCAGTCAACTTTTGACCCGGTCCCGTCACACATAAATAAATTATGTATCGCAAGTTTTTGACGATAAAATGAATGATACGGTGTAGGTGGCGGGGGCGGCGTAGGTTATTGGTGGCTTTGACGAGAATGAGGAGGAAAAATCAATAAAGTTTCCTGTGTTGGAGCGAAGGTGTCAGAAAATGTTGAGGCGGTGGGCGTAAGTTGTTGGAAGGATGTGACGTAGTCCGCTTCACGCTTTAGGTTGACCCGAACACAACGGTACCAAATTTTCATATCCGTTTCATTCTTCAACCTTCTTGCGGTCTCTTTCTGAAAGTTACCTGTGACGGCCTTTTACCACATTTATTTAATTTGCTTAATTGGTTTAGGAAACCAAACTGATGTGAAGAAAGGGACAAGGCAAAGGTATCAATATATACAAATTGTATTCAGCAAAACATACAATGAAGAATGTATACGAAAAAGCAAGCAAAGAGTAAGACGAGAGTTGTCTCTCTTTGACTATCAAAGTCTATCAAAGTTCTCTCAAAGAAAATGAAATAATTATTAGTCTGTTATAAATGTTTTAAACAGTTCTTACGTGCAAGAGGAAATTATGTAAGTGTGAAAGAATATGCAGTTTGAGAGTTGAGTGAGAAGATGGGCGCATAACTTCAACTGTCGTGGATTTCTGTGGCAGCTGAATCTCACTTGTGCGTCTCCTCTTTTCTCATGCTTATATAGGTGACTATTGGCTCAGGAGTGCTGCGCGGGAAAAATCATTTTCTACATGCAGGGAAATCTGATTGGTCAGTATCGACCAATCAGTGCGTGAGCGCTGGGGAGACTTCTGGGAGACGATTCTCCCAAAAGTGCACAAAATCTACTATATGAAAATATAGCGATTTTAAAATTGGCGCTTCATATAGCAGCGTTGCTTCCTGACCAATGAATGAATGCTGTTGGTGATTTGAATTTGTAAGGGTGTATGTGTGTGTGATGATGTTCGTCATATACTTACTGGTTTTATTCAGGACTGAGAGGAACCTTTAAACAAAACAGATTTCCATTACATTATTTTACAAGTATATTCGTTTGATCTTTTTAACTGAATTTGTTTTTGGCGTTGCCTTCAGGGGCACTTTGGAGTAATGGATAGCGGCTCGGATTGAGGAATCAGAGAGCCGAGTTCGAATTCCAGTCGAATCCATTACATTCACTTACGTGCTAATACCCTTAGGAAAGATATGAATCCTCTTCTTCTCCTCCAGCTATGGGTAAATAGCAGGACAGATCGGGTTCTATAGCCTTGGACGGCAACTGGTCTACCGCAGAAAGAAATGGTAACCTTGCAGGAAAAATCTGCCTCGTCAGTCATGTATCGAAAGATACATGATCGCCTAAGCCTTTATCCCGCATAGCACATAACTGACTGACTTTCCAGTCGAATCCATTACATTCACTTACGTGCTAATATCCTTGGGAAAGGTAAGAATCCTCTTCTTCTCCCCCCAGCTATGGGTAAATAACAGGACAAGCCGGGTTCTATAGCCTTGGGTAGCAATTGGTCTAGAAAGAAATGTCAACCTACTGCAGGAAAAAAATCTGCCTTTTCTGTCTTGTATGAAAACATACATGATCACGTAAGCGTGTTCCACGCATGGTACATTACTGACTTAGGTAGACAGCAAGATAATTTCTGTTGCAGGTGCCTGGTCAGTTACATCTGTGTTTGCTCAACGTTCACAGCGCTCACATTTGGTTTATACTTTAACTATGCTGAGCAGAGCTTTGCTTCAGTTTCTGGGGAAATGACTAGTTTGAAAGGGGCCAGTTCACTGAAACCCTCGCTCACAATAAGTTACAAATTCATGCTAACCCAACAATCATCCGTGTTGGGCATGACGATAAACTAGAACCGGAGGCAAGGCCTCTGACCAGGATGTTTTGGGGCACGGGATGCCTCCTCTTACTTGTTGTTGTTCCCAGATACACCCTGACCTGGATGGTTTCTCTCCTTCTTTTCTACACTTTCATGACAAATGCTCTGACGAGTTTCTTTCCCTGACGCCCTGACTACATGAATTTAAGCGTGCTACTAGATTGGCAGCTAGGTCCCACCAGTTTACTATTGAAAAAGCGAAATTCAACCGACACTTCTATTTCAATAGTTTCTCGCATTTCTCGCCTGTGGAACACCCTTCTGTTTACTTGCTTCTCTGATTACTGCAAACTTCAAAAATTTAAATGCAACATCAATCGCCATCATTGATTTCCTTCAATCCCATTCATTTTTTGTCCTTTCCTTAATCCTCCCTATACTCAGTCTTTTCTCTCACTTTCAATAACTGTAATCCCCCCCCTGCGTACTAGTGGCATTCCCGCCTTGCATGGGGTGAAATGATTAACACAATTTAAATATAATGTTAATCGCCATCATTGATCTCCTTGAATCCCGTTCATCTTTTGTCCTTTACTCAATCCTCCCTATACTCAGTCTTTTCTCTCACTTTCGCACCCTGTAACACCCCCCCCCTTCGTACTAATGGCATTCCCGCCTTGCTTGGGGTGAAATGATTACGAAGAAAAAATAAGTAAATTAATGATGTTATTGTTTAAAATTATTTTAATACTACGGTTGGCGCATGAATCAATCTTTAACGAAATTGTCGTTTCAAGTTAGTATAGCTGTACATTCCTCGTCAGGAAAGACGATCATATTAGTATTAATTTTTGACTTTTATTTCTTTTACCATAATTTCTCTTGCTTTTTATTATTCAGCCTATTGTGAAACGTAGAAGCAGAACAACGGATAGAGACATAGAATGTCTAATAGGTCAACCCTTTTAAAATTCCAGCATACTCTCTAGCGTTCGCTTTGGCCAAAATCCCCTTTGAGTAAAAAACGTATCCATCTCTTCTCCCCCCGTTATGGGTTAAATAGCAGAATAGGTTGGGTATAAGAAAACTATGAATTAGAAATCGAGATTTCATGGAGAAACCACTCCACCATAAAGTAATGTAGTTTGTGGAGAGCCATGATCACCAACGTTTTTGGCATATTTGACGGTCATTAGTAAATAGCGCAGAACAGAAGACAAGAATATTTTTGGCCAGAAGCAAACTTACATCACTTGCATCATGGAGCCTGTCTGAACGCGACAGAGGCTCTACCCCGGATTCTGCTGTAAATAGTGGTTGAGAGCAATATTCGATATTTTCCGGGAAAAGTCGGAGCTGAAATATCTACTACTATTAATAGTAAAACAACAAAAATAGTAGCAATCATATTATTATTCTACTTGTTCGTCAGTTTTTTTATTTACCATGTCTGTTATGCTCTCTCGGTACCTCGATGACTATTCCATTTTGATCAGGAGAGAAGTAAAAGACATATAAGAGAGGCTGTTTTGTTTCAGAGAAAGAAAGAAAGCTTTATCTATGGAAACACTTAAAGAGTTTTCTCAGTTATACAGTCGTTCCGAAAAGGGATGTCGCTGAATGTAATTCTTAACAGCCAGTCATCCGGGGTCCAAGTGATCAACGCTGGCATCTCCCAACGTTCGTTTCTTGGTCCAACTGTCTTTCTACTTGATCTGCCTAAGAATATAATCCCATCATTTGTGAATAGCTATGCTGATGATAAAACGGAATATGGGTGCGTTTCCAAAACTCTAGACTACCAGATCTTGAGCCCTGACCTCTCCTCTAAATCTTGCGAAATTCCACTTACAACAAAGGTGGCTGACTAACCGTGAAAACACGTGTATCATCGACACGTCAAAAATTCAGGTGTCCAACTTCCTTGTATCACGAATGAATTTGGGCAATCTGCTTCGCTCTGTAATTAGTTTAGGCACTGTGGAATGGGTCGGCAATCCATGTCCGTACCCTGACAGGGAAATATGCAGAAATAAAACAGAGGGCAACAATTAAAATACGCATATCTTCTCAAAAAACAAGTATAATATAAACCAGAGAAAAATGCATCAACCTCCCCTATCTTAATAATCGGCTGTTCCTACCTGAAGATAACAACTCCAAGTTTCAAAGAAAAGACACATGCCACAATGCCAGGGTCTCGAGTACATACATCAGTAGACAAAATAAATAATATCTGTCTATATCTCTGAGATGAGTTATCATGAGTATTAACACCACGTGGGGTGGAGCCAGGCTTGTCACATTCAATGCCTCGTACACCAAACTAGTGACATTCCACCATCACCATTCTGACCCCGAACGTTCACCAATCGCGATGAACGTATAAGGGAGTTCACGTGCCTTGAGCACCTGTTGGGACTTAAATTCAAACTATACCTCAAGTGGACATCGTACATATGAGCCATCGCTAAAGATTCTGTAAAATGGTTGGGAGCGTGTACCTGACTCCTCCTGCTATTCTTGACAAGAGCCAGATCAGTCTGAAAATGGAGTAGTGATACCATACAGCGGCAGAAGCTGCCCAGTCTTCACTTTCCAGTCCGATAGTCCAAAAGACTCTCCGGTTCCCTGTAGGTAACGACTGATTTCCCACCCTACAACCCCTTTCCTCATAGACGAAACGTCGCAAGC